GGCTATTTCTGCTCCAACGACAGTGACTGTTTATTAAAGGTGTGCTGGTTTCTCTGTGCTTAGCTAGAAGGCCTGGAGTCTGCTGAGTTTTTATTGTTGCTCTGTAAATTCTAACTCAGAAGGGCAACAGAGCTTCTCCCACCCTGTTATTATGGGCCACCCTTTACCCCCAGCCTGCCAATACTTCTCTCTCACACCTAATGTCGATGTGTTCTTGCTCCACCCAGATAAGAGAGTTCATAAGAATTTCAGACTCCTACTGTATGTCCAGCCTGGGTTTCCATAGCAGAGGATCTTGGCTTCTTCTCCATAACTAAGGAGAAAGACAATCATTTCCCATTTCTCCACTCTCAGTGTGATGAACTCACCATCTTCAACTGACCATAAAAGTCCTCCAGTTTCACCAAGTCCATCTCCCTTCTGGCCATCCAATTCCATGTACATCTCAGACTGCCACCTCTCAACTACCAGCCACTCTACTCCATCATCCTGACCACACCTGCCATCTGCCAGCCTTGCTGGGTCCAGTGCTAAGGCTGCAGTGCTAAGGGGGAAACACACACACACACACAAACCAACATGCATACACACAACACAGCCCAGCCTTTTCTGACTAGATTCACTATAAATCACCCAGTGTGGATATCCCAAATGCCTCTTCTTGCAATATTCCTTTTTCACAGGTAACATTCCTTCTGATATGTGGGTTTGCTTCAATAAAACAATCACCTAGTGTGTGCTCAATACTTAGGGGCTGAGCCTACCATGAACACGACAGGGCCTCTGCTCCCAGCGACCTATCTTGAGAACTGAGTGGTGGGGTAGATTTAGCTGAAATAATTGCAAACCCATACTGCAATTGCTGCTCTGAATAAGTTGTATGAATTATCTTGAACAGGGCCAAAGAGAAGTGAAAGAGATGTAGATAACTTGATACCGTGGAGAACATCAAAAAAGGAGAACCAAAGAGAGCACCCTGGTCAGATCTGGACGGCTGTTTCCGGAGTCAGGCATGCAAGGAAGGAGTGAGGCTGCTTTGAAGAGGCAGGAAGGCGATCTTTCCTATCCATATGCTGAGATTGACACCCCTATAAGTTACCACAACTGCTTGAGGATCCCAAGAAATACTTGGTGATGGCCCATGCTGGAAGTTTAGAAGAGGAAACCATGATTGGTTTGCACAACAGGAATGGCTGCAGAGTCACTCCTGCTGTCAACTAAAAGAACATACATAAAAGACAACTCTAAAAACAATTATTTTACAAATAGATGGATCGAGAAAGAAGAGCCAAAGAAATGGAAACAAAATTAGGCGACTCTGCCTCCCAAACCTAGCTGCAATTGCATGCTCTGTCTCACTTCTAACTCCTTGCTAAACTTTCCTAGTGATATTGCTCTAATATCTCAAGTTCAGTATTTTTACCAAAGAAAAGCTTTTACTTCTGATTTCCCTGATCCTGTTAACATAAAGCTTTCCGAGCGGATAAAGCAGAAGCAAGATTCCTACCCAGCAGCACAAATGTGCAGTGACTCCGCCCTGACAGATGAGGGTCTGGCTTTGCTCACCCTTTGGGACTCACCTGACCACAGCTGCCCCAAGCCTTGACCTTGTTTCAAGTGGAGTAGTGACTCTCTTCACTTTCCACAAACTCTGCACATTCTGCTCTGTGCCTTACAGTTGCATTATTTTATTTATCTTTGCATTTCCAATAAAATGCAAGTTAAATGTTTCTTGAACCAGGATAAACAAAATGTGGAATAAGTAGTTGGAACTAAACAAGAAACTGATTCCTTCTTTTATACAGTCTCACATTACTTGGAGATATTTCACATTAACTTTTTAACCTTTATTTATTTACTTATTTTTGCAATGCTAGGTAAGTGCGCTACCCCTGAGCTACGCTCCTGATTCTGTACACCTTAAGAAACCGATGTTCTGTGAGTAAGTCTCTTGATCACAAGAGGCTTTTTACAACAGTCATACACTTCTACGATTTAGTAATAAGGCATTTAGCAGGGTAGCACCCAGACTTAGCTCTGACCTCTGAAATACTTAGTCTTATCATATACTCACTGGGATTTTCACTGGAATTAAACGGTCAGCTCTCTATGAGAAATTTAGCCAACAAAAAGTCAATTTATAGCCAGTTTGGTGGCTCATGCCTGTAATCCCAGCACTGGGGAGGCTGAAGAAGGACGTTTCTCAATAGTTCAAGGCTAACAGGAGCTATATAATAAGTTCAAGGCTGGTCTAGAACACACTGTCTCAAAAAAAAAAAAGTCAAGTTATTGAAAAGATCTTTGTTGCTAAGATGTGTTGGAAGAAAGGAGGCAGTTACTTTTTATTAGTCTTTATGAAACCTTTTAAAAACCTTTAAAAAAAAAAAAAGTTCCATTTTGCTAGGTGTGGTGGCACATGCCTGTAATTCCAGCACTCCAGAGGCTAAGGCAGGAAGATCATGGTGAGTTAGAGGTGAGTTTAAGGCCTGGGCTACAAGGCCAGCCTGAACTGAATAGTGAAGCTAGCTCAAAAAGACCAAGAAAAAAAATTTTTTTTTCATCTTGGATAATCTTAAAGAGTTGATTCTAGACAGCTAATCACTTGAAGATTAGTTTCACTCTCCTGTAGGAAATAAAGCATTATAGAATATATTAACTCATATTTTGAATATACCTGATGTTAGGCTAATTATTTGTACAAAATATGCTGTGAAACTAATGCATTATAAGTGTCTTAAGAAGTGTTTACCACAATGTTGAAGTAAGTTATGTTCCTCTAAGTTAAAATGTTCACATCATATTAATACTTCCATAATTCTAAGTCAGTCTTTAGTGCTTTATTGGTAGCAGCCATATTTGGTTTGGGACACAGACATTTATGAAATAGAATTAACTTTCATCCCAGCATACAGAATTTTGATGCTATATCGCTATCTATGAATCATCTGCTTCTCAGTAAGTCCCTTCAACTTCCTGAGTCACAAGTCTCAGCATTTTTAAGGCTGAACTAACCCCAGAATGGCATGAAGACAGGACAGTAAGCAGGGCACACACTGGCATCTCCTCTCAATGCCTGGGAGTTGAAAGGATGTTGCCCCTGATGGGACACTGTAGCGGGTGGGAGCCTGAGAGGAGGAACCAAGAGGCTCTATCTTGAGGTCACCTTGTCCTGCCCCTGGGCAATTTACCTGTGGCGTGAAATAAATCCCAATGGGCTACCTGTGCATCAGTAATGCCCCTTAGGTTCCACCCCAAACCTAAGTTACATGTATGCCCCCACACCACGTGTGGGGCGGAGAGAATGCCAGACCCCGGAGGTCATGGAATCTCTCTCCACATTCTTTTTTTTTTTTTTTTTTTTTTTGTCTTTTTCCTTTTTATCTGTACCAGGGAAATAAAGGCCACTTTTATTTAATACTTCTTATCTTTTTAGCCTCGCGGAAAATTCTATGAGGAGTAAATGTTGTGTTGAAAGCATAGCGACTCCAAGCTGCCTCTCATGGTCTTCAGGGGATGTTGAATAATCTAGCAGAAACAAAATTAGTATTAGCATTTCTCTCTCCAGAAGTCACAATTATCTTCACTGCTAAGCAGAACCCACAATCTTGATAATGAGGCATAAATACTTGCCTAAAGGACTCAATTGCCAAGAGCACTAATGTTAGGCAAGAATGATATATAGCTCCCTGGGGTGATTTGCGCACATGTCCCGGTAAAGCCTGCCATATGTAGTTATCCCAGCGTGATGGAGGACTGGAAATTATCACTGAGTCGGCCTACCTCTAGCTCAAGAGAGAGGCGCACAAAGTAACCCTTTTCCCTCTCCAAGGGCAAGGTGCTCTGGGCACTGGAAGCAGCACGGTAAACTCAGCAGAAACTCTTCCTAGTTGCTCAACTACTTTAACATCCACCATACAAAAACAATAAAAAGGAAACAAAACAAACAAAAATAAACAGAAGTCACAGCACTTTGAGAGGCTGAGGCAGGAGGATCACAAATTCAACCCCTGTCTGAGCACCTCAGCAATTCAGTGAGATTCAGTCTCAACACTTAGAACAACCCGGCCAGGGACATAGTTTACTGAGAAGTCCTTGAGTTCAATCCCCAGTACACGGGAAAAGGGGGGAGGGGAAGCGAGGCGGGAGAGGGTAGGGAGAAAGAGGGAAAAACAGAAGTTAGGAGCTAGGCTGCAGGTAAACTCTAAACAAACATAGGACAATAGGAGACTGTTTCTCAGCTCCCCGGAGTGGGCAGGAGCTAGGGCAGAAGGGACTAAAGAGACAGCAACTCTACAGAGTTTTAAAAACTCGCCAAACTGGAATTGGGGACTGAGGGTGGGGGAGACAGTGGGGGAGGAGGGAGGCCCTTCTGAGAACCTGCTGTTTTTACCCCTAACCGATCTTTCCCGTCTCCAGTCAACCCTCTTTGCTCCACTGGGCTCTTCCACCACTTTATCGCCAGTCCTTAACAATTTTTCTAAAAGAAATTTCCTAACCAGTAGAGAGATTCCAGGATTTGGAAGTCCATACTCTGTATCTCTGCTGTTCAGCTTGAGCTCAACTGAACGTTCCACCATTTCGATAATATTGGGAGAATTTTAACAGCTCTCATTCACTGAACCCCTAAGTGCTACAGGTTTTTCAATTCGCACAACAGCGAGATGTGTTGGCCTCCACTGGCCCCGTTAGACCGAGGTGAAAATGCGGCTTGGCGGGGCTTGTCAGGGGTTCGCAGCCAGCTCCTCCGCAGAGGTCTGATCACCGCACGGGTGCGATCTGTGTACGCGGATTTGCACATCGAGGCCTGAGTATACGCCTTCCCCCCAACAGCCCAGGCTAAGCTTTCTCCTAGCCGTGCCCAGCCTTCAAAGGGTTAAAGGCCTGTCCATTTTGACCTGTGAGTCTCCGCACAACTGTTTATCCCGAACCGGACGAGCTGCAAACCTGCTGGACGCAAAACCCGGCCCCGTGGACTAGGTGCTAGGGCTCCGCTGGGGCCGCCACCTCGCCCCCGCGCTCTGAGCCCCGGAGCTGGGCGCACGCCACGGGAGGGCACTGCGTGTACCCGCGCCACCAGGGGCCTCCGCGCGCCACCTGCGCTCGGGCCCCGCGCCCGTCCGCCAGACACCCGGCCTCCCGCCGTAGTGTGCCGGCTCCCCCGCGGCTCGGTGCGGTCGCGGACTGCGCTTGGACCGGGGCCCGCGTGCGGCCCGGGGCTCCCAGCTCCCGCTACTCTCGGAGGAGGCGGGGAGCGCCCGGCGGGGCCGGCGGGGCGGGGCGGGGCGGGGCTTGCCAAGGGCGCCACCGTCCCGGCGTCACGGCCCAGGTGCGCGTGCGGCCCTGCGCCTCCAGTGCTCGTGCGCTCGGGCGCACCTCGGGGTGCAACTTCTCGCGGCGGCCACACCTGGAACCGCGCCCCAAGGAGAGGCGGCCCTCAGGCTGGAGCGAGGCCGGGACGCGGGCGGGCGGCAGTGGAGCCTTGGGCGGCCGAGTGGAGGGCGCGATGGCGCGGGGCCCGGGGCGCCCGTGCGCGCTGCTGCTGCTGTTGGTGGTGAGTGCGGTGGGCCGGGGCGGCTGCGGGGACCCCGACCCGGGCTGCGGGAAGTCAGTCGGCCGGGCTGGCGGACGGGGTGCTGGGACCTGTCGGCTCGGCTCTGCTTTTCCTTTCGCCACACTCGGGACCCGGCGTCCTTGGCTAACCGTGATCGGTGAGTGTAGTGAGCCTGGACGGGGGACACCTGGACTGGGAACGAGGGCTTTGTTTGAAGTCTTTCCGGACTGGGTACTTGAAGACCGCAGGGACCGGTACTGGGGCCTTCTTCCCAGCTCCCGAAAGTCCCCTACAATCCCCAGGCTCTCCAGCCATCGCCGCTTGGCAGGGGGAACCAGAAACAAACCTGTATTCTTAGAGTGCAAAACAAGAGCTAAAAGCATTTTCTTTAAGACCTGCGACTTACAAAGCTTTCTGTTTGCCTTTGATGAAGCTGCATTACTTTTATGAAAATCACATTTTTAACTTTAAAGATCACGAAGTCGCGTTTTAAAAACAATTTCCTTGTACTAAAAGGAAGTAATCGTGTAATCGTTTCAGTACTTTTTCGAAGAAAATAGAAGTGTAGAATCACCACAATCCAGTGGGGATTTGAGAGCTTTTCAACCACGGAAGTCAACGTTCACCTCTGAGCTCTGTTTGATCATGTTTTATGTCGAGCTCTTGTAACCTGAACAGCTCCTTCTAAGATAACAACGTGCCAATATGTTAACTAGTGTTAATATCCTACTATTTTTTTGAAACTCTGTATCATTTCTAACCTTTTTTGTTTTGCTTTTTAAAATAAAAAGTAGATTTTTAACTTTTGATTTCTATATTCAAAAGAATTTTTAAACCATTGCTTTTCTTTTTGTTAAAGGGATTGCACGTAATTAAGGAGCATAGCTGACTGACAGGGTTTGGTAAATGGGATTTGATAAAGTGGCAGATATCTTGGTAGTGTAGGTGTGGTCTCAGCCTTCTGGAGACTTCACAAGTGCTTTTCACAGATGAGACAGGAAAATCATTCTCGATTTTCTCATGTAATTATTAAAATTAAAAATACAAGTAGCACTCTATGAATGACTCTGACTTTCAGAAGCTGAGGTTTTTTTTTTTTTTTTTTTTTTTTTTCCATTCTGGAATTGTGGAGGAAAAAGAAAAACAAGGTGTGTGTGTGTGTGTGTGTGTGTGTGTGTGTGTGTTTGATCTCCATATAGGTAAGATTTTTTGAAATAGAAATAGAATGCTCCTTTAAAAAGAGACCATAACTGGGTGTAGTGGCACACTCCTGTAATCCCAGCACTTGGGAAGCTGAGGCAGGAGCATGGTTGCAAGTTCCAGACCAGCCTGGGCTACAAAGTGAGTTCAAGGGCATCCAGAACTGCATAGCAGGAACCCTGTCTCAAAAAAAATGACCATAGTCAACTGGTCAGGAGCAAAATTCTTGGACTATTCTATATATTTTATAGTATTTTTTATAATATAAATTTTGAGTATGATTTTTTTGTTAGTGTTTTGCTTACTTGTCCAAGAATAGTAGGTTTTTCAGCATTTTGCTCCCAATGTGTTTAAAGTTGGAAGGACAGTGTTTCCGTAAAGAAAAGAAAACAGCAGGCCCTTTACCAGAAAAAATGTAAATTTTTTTTGCATTTTGATGCAAATTCTATTGCATCAAAGTCCTATTACAAATAACAGAATTTCTCTAACAAGCTAAACTATTGAGATTTATTTCAGCACACTCATTGGACTACGTAAGTGTAGGGAGGATGAAGAAACCCACTCTAGTTTGAGCTGTCAGTCATGACTTCAAAGCCACAGAGCCCAGTTTAGAGAGTTGCTGCCTGTCCTGTGTCCACTGCTGCTTCCACAGTGAGAAGCTGCAAGTATCACAATGGAACTTTCCCTGCCAGCTTCCAGCCCAGGTCACACCTGATCCAAACCCTGGCAAAGGCAAAGCCGATGCACTGCCCCTTAGCACCAGTGAATCTAGAGACCGATATTAGAGCCCACATAAGACCACTGCAAAAACCAGCCAGATCCAGGGTGTGCCAGCCAACACAGAAGACACATTCAACGTCTACTTCCTGTCACTCTTGCAAATATCATGTAAATTCAGGAGAAGCATCTCAAATCTGAAAATCCTAAATGCTATCACCAAAATACCTTTTTGGACAATGTGTTGGGGCTCAAAACAGTTTTGAATTTTAAAGCACTTCAGATTTGGGCTTTCCAGTTTAGGACTGCTCAATCTGTAAAGTCTAAGGAAATTTCAAAATCTGAAAGAAATTGAGAGCTAAGCATATCACAAAGCAGATGGCCAGCCGGCACTGACCTAACCCAAAGTTACCGAGAAGTGGGCCTGCAAAGGACCGTCTTTCGCTTCAAATGTGGATTTGGCAGCACAAGGAAGCACATCAGAGGGTAACGGTTGAGTGTCACCTATACCACTGTCATTCAGGACAACACTATTAAAATGGGAAAGACAAGTTATCTGAGTAAAACTTTAAAATTTGTCCTCTTCAAGCAGTCTTTATCTACGGTCCATTGACTCTCAAATTGTCCATTAACAGAATTCAGACTCTTCCCCAAGATGTGAGGGATTAATTACATACGTATTTCCACTAATCTCTAAACTGAAATTAGCATGTAAGTCACAAAGATGACAATGTAGTAGGGTTGGCAAGATCTATGACTTTGTGACAGTGGAATTCACAGCTGTTTTTACATATTCCAGTTATTTCAAAATAGCATTTCTGCTGACTATCACTAATAGCCTTTACTAGCTCTTTTAATTCTATCACATATTTTAAAAATTCTACAACTATTTCGATATAATTGGGCTTATTCTTAATCCAGTGTAGTTTCAAATCTTAAAATGTTATTCTGAAAGGGGATCGTAGGCGTCACCAGACTGGTAAGGAGAGGATTCAGGAGAGTGATTGTCTCGTGATTGCCTCAGTCTAATTAACCTTGTCCTTTGCAATCGAACTCCATAGCAAGGATCCAGAGGCAGCCTGTGGTACTGTGGGCGGGCATGACTAGTGTCCATTTGCTGGAACTGCTGGAACAAGTTGCAAAGTCTGGGGAGCTTAAAACAACAGAAGTTTACTGTCTTAGAATTTTGGAGGCTAGAGATCCACAATGAAGGTATTGCCAGAGCCCCACTGCCTCTGCAATCTGTGGGTGTGCCTCCTCGCCTCTTCTGTGTGGTAGTTTATCAGCAGCCTTTAACTTTCTTCTCTTACAGAAGGGCCACTCCAGTTTTCCATCTCGCGTAGAGTTCTTTCTCTTGTACCTTTCTAGCATCTTTCATTTGCATGTCCGTGTCCAAATTTCCCATTTTAGAAAAACACTGGTCATACTGACTATGGGCCTAACCTTATAAGCTTACCTGAGTTCAACCTGTACAGACACTGTTTCCAAATGAGGTCACATAAGGTGGTTAGAACTTCATCATGTCTTATTTTAGTTTTACCTATATCAAGATATTCCATTATCTCTAACTTACCAATAACACCAGAGTTATGCTTAATGTTTTATTATGCAAACGAGCTACACAAATTTAAGAATAAACTGCATGGTAAATATTGAAGTTAGAAAGAATGTTTAATTATCCAAGGATTTTAGAAGCTTTGCATTTGCTTTTATTCTAAAAATTTGTAGATAATGGAAAAATGGCATAAACTTTTGTTTATGAGTTTGAAGCAAAATACTTTACACAAAAAAATGAGCATTCTAAAGTGACCCTATATTAGAAATACCTAGTGAGCTAACTTCAAATCTGTAAGATTCACAAATACGTACTGATAGAAACTTTGCAGTTGACCTATCAGACAGATAGGTGTAAGGGAGAGTAACTGGCCTAAATCTTACAGAATAGCTTATCTGTGAAGAAAGAGGCACAATGTGAACAACACATTGAATAGGAAGTGGTATTTTTGAAAATTGCCAAACTATAATAAAAATTAGAGACCTTAATTGAAATCATAAATGAGCTTTAGGTCTATTCGTTTTTTTCTTTCTTTCAATGTACCACAAATTTCAGCAGCTTTGATAGCACTTTTCAAACATTTCATCTGTATATAATGAAATACTCTTTTCTGAATTTGGTTTACTTAAAGTATCATACATATACTTCATAAGACATTGAAATTTTTTTACTTCAAGTCACAAGTAAAATTTGCTGTACTTGTTGGAACACCAGGGTTTATACTATAGTATAGTGATAAGATGAGAAATGCCCACAAGAAAAAAAAACTAAGTGTATATGACTACTGTTTAGTGAGTGCTTCCTTGATGCTAGGCAGTGTTCTAGATTGTGAAAGGCCAGACATATATTCTGCCTTCCAGGTACCTGTTACAGTCTGGTAAATGATACAACAAGGAAATGGCTAACTTCTCAGTTGGTAATGATAAAAAGAAAAAAATGATAAACAAACACACAGTCCCACAGGGCCTGCAGAAACTGGGCGTCCCTGCCAGGATCTCAGTGTAATTCCAGATTGGTGAGATGACAGGCAGAGAACCAGGGAGGATGTCCTGGGTTGAGTGAATAATATGTACAAAGGCCTGAATACAGGCACACCTGGTTCTTCCGAAGAACTGGACTTTAAAGCCTATTGCTGCTTCATCATAGACTATGAGGTGGAAGAGTTTGCAGATGAGTCCTTGACCTTCGGACTAACAGAAGTCAAAACAATGGCTATAGCTAGGTGAGTGTTTTTAGGGATATGTTCAGATTGCTAGGTAAATGAAAAGATCTTTTTTGCTTGAGATGGTCAGGAGAGTCAAAAAGGAATAAATAGAATGTGGCTGGTTGAAAACAATAACAACAGAAAAGGCTGATTCTTAAAAAAGAAGGAAGAAGGGGTTCAGGACGGGGTCAGCTGGGATCAGACAGGCAGAGAAGCCCAGAGACTGTGCAGCCTGCAGGAGCAGAGAGCTGGTTTGAAAGCGAAGGAGTGGGACCGATTTTGGTTATCAGATGCCTGGTGCTTCATTCCCAGAGTCTGAGGATG